TCCCTTCTTTCTGAGTAAACCTTTTCGCTACAAGCCTTGCTTTAAAAGTTTGTACTTTTCCGTTTACACCTCTCTTTTTCTTATAGATCCTCTTGCATCCAATGGGTTTAACCCCATCAGTTGGTTCTACAAGATCCCAAACCTGATTAGAGTACATAGACTCCATCTCTGATTTCATAACAACAACCCACTTATCGGCATCCTTATCATGTAGTGCTTGGTCGTAATTGACAGGTTCGGAGGTAGGCTCCTCAGGGATCATATCATATGATTCTCCCAAGAGCGTGTAACGAACTGGATGTCTTATTTCTCTCCCACTACGACTACGCACTACATCAGTTGCAACTACATCACGTTGATTTTGTGGTTGAACCACAACATCATCAGGAACCTGAGTCTCCATGCTATCCACAGGGATATCAACGACTTCTTCCTGTTGTGCAGTCTGCTCAACATGACTCCCACTACTTTGTGGTAGTATGACTGCGGGCACTTGTTCTTGTGGTACATTAAGTCTATTGACATTTCTCCCACTACTAAAGTGCAATGGTATGTCAAAATCGACTTCCGGGGTTTGGATATGGTCGTTTTGATTTTCAGATGACTGAGTTTCCATTCCTTTGCTGAGTTCCTGTAAAACGAGTTTACTTCTAGGAACATGGTTCATCAAATAGTCCTCTTCTAGAAACTTGGCATTTGTGCTAACAATTACCTTTTTCTCTTTAGGACAATAGAATAAACCACCTTTCGTCCCTTTTGGATAACCTATAAACACGCATACATCCGTTCTTGCCTCCAATTTATCCGTTTTCCCCTTTAGCACATGTGCCGGACAACCCCAAACTCGAATATGCCGCAGACTAGGCTTGCGCCCAGTCCACAATTCTGTAGGGGTCAAGGGTACTGACTTTGAAGGAACTAAGTTCAGAACATAATTCGTCGTTTCTAAGGCATGTCCCCAAAAAGACGAAGGCAAATCGGAATAACTCATCATTGATCTAACCATTTCCATAAGAGTCCTATTTCTTCTTTCAGCTACACCATTTTGTTGTGGAGTTCCAGGTGCAAATAATTGAGATCTAATTCCACATTCTGATAAATAACCAATGAAGTCCGTAGAGAGTTACTCCCCACCACGATCAGATCGTAGTGTCTTGATATGTTTATTATGTCGCTTTTCAGTCTCAGTCTTGAATTCTTTGAACTTTTCAAAACATTCAGACTTTCGACGCAACAAATAAATATATCCATATTTTGAGTAATCATCTGTGAAAGTCACAAAATACTCAAAACCACCTCTTGCTTGGACATTCATTGGACCACACAAATCAGAATGAATTAACTCTAATTTATCACTTGCTTGATTTCCTTTTGAGGGGAAGTTTCGTTTTGTCATTTTCCCTTCTAAACAAGATTCACAAGTTGGTAGTGCCTCCACTTTCAATGAACTTAAAGGTCCATCCTTGACCAACCTGGAAATTCTGTTCAGATTTATATGACCCAAACGCAAGTGCCATAAATATGTTTCACTCAATTCAGAAGAACGTTTTCTCTTGCTTGGTAAATCAACATTATTCAGTTCTTTAGGTGGTAACGGTTTAGGAATAGAGTCAACAACAAAAAGACCATTAATCAATGTAGCCGAAGAGAGATAATGCTTAATATGAGTAATAACACATTTATCAACGTCATGACAATTAAAATCATAACCATCTCTCGTAGCGCTAGAAACCGAAATTAAATTCCTTCTAACGGAAGGTACATATAATGTGTCTTTTAAAGCTAAAACTCTACCACTACCAAACGAAATACTAATATTTCCTAATGCTAAAGCTGGGGCTGCTGAACCGTCTGCTTGATAAACATTGATTTCTCCTTTACTTAGCCGCCGCGTTACCTGAAACCCCTGCAAATAAGTGCAGATATGATTAGTGGCTCCCGAATCTACATACCATGACATGGTAGAAACAACCGCTAAAAATGTTTCAACGACAAGCAGATGTAAATCACCTGGTTTATTTTTCAGCTTGGCCAGATAAGTTGGACACTGCTTCTTATGATGTCCGGGCTGCTTGCAGTGATAACACTTGCCCTTATCCTTTTTCATACCAGCAGTCGCGCCACTAACAGAGGGTTTTTTAGCCTTTTTCTTTTTCTGCCCGCCTCTCGGCTTAGAAGAAGAACATGTCTCAAAATTCAATGCAACGGGAGGAGCTTGGGACTTGATAATAGTCTCTGCCGACTGCAGCTCATTCAACAATTTCGCAAGGGACAAATCCATTTTGTTCATGTTATAATTCAGGCGAAATAGCTGAAAACTGTCAGGCAAAGTCTGCAGGATCATTTCAACATGCGTGTCCTTATCAATGTTAGTTCCAAGGACCTCCAGTTCATTCAGAAGACTCATCATCTTCAGAACATGGTCCCTGACCGATGAACCTTCAACCATTTTGGTATTCAGAAGGGCTTTCATGGCAGTCTGCTTAGCCGCACGATTCTGATCTCCGAACATTTCTTTGAGATTTTCCAGAATGTCATAAGCAGACTCCATCGACTGATGCTGATGTTGCAGAACATTCGACATGGATGCCAAAATGTAACACCGCGCTATCTCATCAGCCTTAATCCATTTCTGGTAAGCCTTCTGTTCATCATCTGTGGCATCGTCTCCCGGTTTCTCTGGACACACCTCATCGAGCACAAATTTGTACTCTTCAGCAATTAGAACAATATCCAAATTTCGTTTCCAATCAACATAATTTGGACCCTCAAGTTTGTTTTGGGTAAGAATGACAGTAAGGGGATTAAAAGCAGTCATTGTTAATCTGGGAGACATTAAATATTTAAATAGATCAAATCAGTTTGTATTATAAACATTAAAATTCAAAACACATTATATATATATACAATCTATGCACCTTGAACAACAAATTTCCATGGGAAAGAAGCTATTCTTGCAATATACATATATAATGACAAATTTTCACTCCATAAACTTAAACATGTCATACTCAGATGGAGAGTAAACTGTTAATTTAAGCCAAGTGAATATCAACATTCAACATATATTAGTCCCATTGAACCAACATGCATACTCAGATGGAGAGTAAATACAAATAATCAATGACTAGTATAACATAGTGATTATTCATAATATTTTTATCCGATATGGAAGAAGACCTACGTCAACGTGTAAAAATATTATATCACTGATTTTTTAAGCCCGGGGACCAAGGGAATTGATCCCCACAATTTCTGGAATTAAAAAAAACTAAAAAAAATTTCAGAATTTTAGAAAAACAGCAAAAACACCATCTAAACGACCCCGAACGCCCAAAAAACGACTTCAGTCATGCATGAAATCCATGAGTATTGCTCACTGGGCCGTTTCGCATGGACCTGCCAAGTTTCAGGTCAATCGGAGTCCGTCAACTTTTTGACCTCCGATTTTCTGCCCTGATTCAACAAAACGTGTTTTTCCGTTTTACATGATAAAATTCAACTTTCAGATTATTCTAACTCAACATCACCAATATTAAAAGGATACATCAAGTTTTCAGAATAATCAACACAACCCATAACAGATAATCACACCAAAACAGTGCAGGTTTTCAGAATAACAAACTTTGCATGTAATTCAAAACTTGCATATAGAACATGATATTAATCCTTATGGTTTATCCTAATTATTTAATAAGACGTGAGTAAGCTCTCATACTAATTGTAGGAATATATACTACAGCGGAAGCAATAACAGAATCTTATTCACGTGTAATCTAAACAACTAGCACGTATGGAGATTTTAGGATTACCTCTTGAAGCGTAAACACAACAAATCTATGTCGTTCTCCAGTTCCTCAGTTGAAAACACACCAGCAGATTTCCACAGTCTTCTACTGTGTTACCCAAACAATAACCGAAAATAGAGAATTTTGGGTGGGCAAAATTCTAGTAGAAACCGCAGTCAGAATCATGTAAAAAACCTCCAGCCCTTATATCCATATATATAGCTGCGTTTTTTAGGTCAAAACCGTTTTCAAAACCTGTTAGGTTTCCTTCTCCCACTAAGGGACGGTTTCCACGTTTTCTTTCCCACTAAGTAACAGTTTCCACTATTTTCTATTATTTAGGCACAGTAGGGACCACAGAATTTAATTAACAAGGCTTCCTATTATGATATTAATTTCGAAATTCTGAAACTAATTTCCATCATAATAAATTACGAATTATTCCACTAAAAATTCGTAATTGCACTCCTTAGTTCAATTTCGAAATTCTTCCATAAAACCTTATTTAACTCCCCATGTTAAGATTCAGATACTAATCAATCAAATTAAATTACTGACTATTTAATTTATTGATTACTTCCTTTAGACTTACACTTAACTTATTTCATGTGTCGGATACAAAATCCACCGACCGGGTTTACACATGAAAACTTATAAGCTTTCATAAAGGACTATCATCAATCTCAAAATTGAGACATGGATTCCATCAACTAATTATTACTTCGCCAATGTATATCATTGTTATCCAATTTACCAGGCTTATTGACTCGCGAAAGAATCTCGCCTTTTAATAAATCAAAACAACAAGTGACATACACAGCTAATAATAATTATATCAGGATTAAGAGTATAAGTACATTAAATGGACTAGAGAAATTATTTTATAAAGTCAGTATAAAATACTCATCTCTACTTGATCCGTTCAATACATACAAAATGTACTAGCACAAGAAGTTGGAATTAAACCATTCCCATAATCAAGATAAATTATATTTAATCTTGTGCTACAATCATTCCGATGATTTGTCCAATTCCATCATTAGATTGTGAACATTAACTTTTATGTCTTACAAGAACCGATGATTTAATCTTCCGTGTATAAGCTAAACTCTATACACTAAATCATCTACTATGTAAGCAATGGACGCACAAACCAACACATGATCTATTTAAAATGAAACTTTATTGAATTTAAACAAGTAAATAAATAATTGTTCATAAAGAATACTATAACAATACGCATGACTTATAATATATTCTAACATTTGCAACTGAACAGCTCCCTCCCAAGACGGCGAAACCTGATAAGCCTTTTTCCTCAACAGTGTATGTGACAAGTAGTTAATATAAAAGAAATTGTGTAAGTACATAGAACCACTGCGTGCTGTGATGAGTGACATGACAATAATGGAAGGAAGGCTAAGATCCGAATCTCGGTGGATGCTGTAAATTATCCAAATTTTGCAAAGAAAAAGTATTTGGTTTACCGCTTACGAGATAGTTGTCTTATAAACCAGAGTCTGGAATAGATTACAAAACGAATTTCAATTAATGGAACGATGTAATTTACGAGGCCAACACTTCCCGAATAATATTAATTTTATTCTGAGAAGCACTAGGTCATGTTCAATCAATTTGATATTAGAATATGCAAAAGTTAATTTATTTGGTCAAGCCAACTAGCCAAAGAAGCTTATAAGGGAAGGAAGTACATATTCTACTTAAAAGACTTCGGGTCTATGATAATACACAGAGAGGAAACAAAAAGAAATGGAAGAAAAAAAGAATGTGAAACTACATGGCTTGTTATTTTTCTATGAAGGTGAAGGCTAGTCCTTTTACCTTAGGTTTAATTTGTACACTAATTTCACTCTGTGGTATGCCTAAATGAATAAAGACACACTAGTGTTAAGAGTCCAAATGCTATAATTGGTTCCTTGATATTTAAACAACATGATATTGCCATCTTATGTAAAATCTCATGGTTCTAAAGTCCTTATACCTCTGGAAAATTAACAGAAAAAAGCAAAACAAAACAAAACAAAACAAGCATACCAGTCTTTACGGATGTATGCCCTGACGTCCACAAAGAGATAAAGACAGTCGTTTGAAGAAGATAATATAATCTGCTCTAACAATTTATTTTTGGTAAAGGATAAGTTTTGCACTAGTATAATTATCAGGAAGTGTAATGCACAATGCCACAATCATTCAAACAGTTTTAACTTGTACTCCATTATCTTTGATATTAAGAGAGTAAATTGATAAAATATTTTATACTCTGTCTACTTAACTACTTTACTTGTCGTTCCAAGCAAATGATATCAGCAACGTGGGGGAGTCGAGGTCTATCCAGGGTAAAAACTAGAATACTGTCATATTGATAGGCTAGTATTGACTAACAAAATAAAATACTCAGTCCAATTTATTGTTAGCCGAAACAAAATATTAGTACATGACAAAGAAATGGGCAGCTGCTGTCATTGCTCGTCATAAAGACAATTGAATCGGCTGCAAGTAAAAAAACAGACAATTTTATAATCACATATCGACCAGCTTTGCCGGAAACCAAAAACCTTAAAAATATTTGCTTTTGTCAACTTTGAACAAATGGAAGGTTCGTGAAAATTTCTGAAAATCTATATATACGGCAGCTTAAAGCAAAACCATGTCATATTGGAGTGGAAAATGGGAGAAGAAAACAAGGTAACTCTACATGGAATGTGGCTTAGCCCTTATGTGAAGAGAGTAGAACTAGCTCTCAAAGTCAAAGGCATACCTTTTGAATATGTAGAAGAAGATCTAAGCAACAAAAGTCCATTGCTCCTCAAATACAATCCAGTTCATAAGAAAGTCCCCGTTCTTGTTCACAACGAAAAACCAATAAACGAGTCCCTTGTCATTCTTGAATACATCGATGAAACATGGAAGAATGGACATCGACTCTTGCCAGAGGATCCTTATGAAAGATCCCAAGTCCGATTCTGGGCTGTTTATATCCAACATGTAACATCAGATAATCCATTTTTATAATGCATCCACCCATTTTCATGTAGCATAAGAATCCAACTATTAAATAATCCACGTGTTTGCAGGTGATGGAGTGCATGCTTAATATATTCACAGCAGAAGATCAAGAAAAAGCCTGCGAGGAATTCTATCAGAAACTAGGCGTGCTTGAAGATGGAATGAAGAATATGTTTCCAGTGAAAAGCAGGAACATAGGGCTCCTAGATATCTTGATTGTCGTTGCATTTGGCGCGTGTAAAGCACAGGAGGAAGTGTTCGGATTGAAGTTTTTGGACCCAAAGAATACTCCCCTGATAACCTCATGGCTCAATAGCCTACTTGAACTACCCGTGGTTAAAGAAAGTGTTCCTCCTCATGACAAGGTGGTTTCATTTCTTCGATTTTTCAAAGAAAGCAGCTCCAATGCTCAGGCTTACTGAGCTTTAAATGTGTTCTGTTTTCGTCCTTATGCTCCTACTGTATTTGTGGTGCCGTTCTGCTTTGTAATAAGGCTTATGGCCATAAGAATTCAATATGCTGCTTTCAATCGGTTGAAATATAGAATATATTTCTGCAAAGCACTTACACGACCTGATTTTTCCTCCTGTGAAGCTTGCATTAAGATTATTTACCTCATCAATAGAACACACATTGACAGACTAATCAAACAGTATAAAAAAAATAAAATAAAATTGGATAGCGTTGCACATAGCTGAAACTATCCTTCAAATGGAAATACAGTGCTCTATTGATGAGAGGATGATATATGAAAATTCAAAGTTTTTGCCAAATCGGGCAAGCAAGTTGATTGTAATCCAAAAATGAAGGAAAATATTTTAATACAAATATCTGATTGATCTCTACAATTCTTTATTTCCCCCCCACATAAAATAAATTATCAATACCCTTATTTATAATAGTAGGAAACCTATTTCAACTAGAAACAGGAAAGTCTATTCATATATTTATTCTAACTGCAAATCCTATTTAGACATGAATTAAATAAACCAAATCCTAAATAACTAATGTTTCCTACTACAACTTTGAATTAGTTTTCCAACAAAAAGACATATATTTAGGTTGCAATGTAACAAAAAATCTTAAACTGTATGGAATGACGTAATGACAGTAAAGAACTCATTTTGACACAGAAAAAACCCAAAGCAAAAGAGCTTGTTTAAAGCGCATCTAGTAATAACTTGAATGTCAAAATTGTTTCAAAACTTAAAATGAGGAAGTCCTCTAATCCAGCTCAACTCTTAGCTGCCAGCTTCTCTTTGGCTTTTTGGATCTTCAAAACCTTCTTTACATTTTCTGCTCTTCCACCAAGAAAGCCCTAATAATCCTGAAAAATTAGCATGAATCCAAATACGACTCAGATGAACATGAATTGGAAAAATATACATGGCCAAGACAAACAAATATGAAAAGAGCAGACCTCTCTCGTAGAAGGAATAGATGTGGGGTCTAGTAATTAATTTAATACATTGTAATTAGGTGAAGTTAGTAGATAAAAAGGGTAGGTTAATTAGTTAGTAGTATAAATAGAAGTTAGTTGTACCTGTACAGTAGCTTTTGAGAATCACAGAGAATGGAGCTTCTCCTTCTTCTTCTTCACCGACTTCCTTCCTCTTCTGCCATGGCTGACTAGTTCAACATGATATCAGAGCTTCAAGGCTAGATCAATTAACTCAGCAACTTCAGGAGAGGAAGATCAACTGATTAATAGCTTCCTTTACTCTATCCCTCTATCAGTTTTCTAGCAAATTCCCTAAAATTAGGGCTTGTTCGATTAGTGTCAATTTATGCTGAAACTGAGTGATTTGCGACCTAAATCATCTCAATTAGTGAGGTGCGATACAATCTATAGTGTCTACAATGGCAATCGATAACGGAACCTCGACTTCAACTCCTTCTATGGCGACTGCAACTCAGGCTCAAGCATTGCATTCTCCAGATCTGGTACATCACAATCACTCTCTCTACATTCACCCTTCAGATACACAAGGTTCTGTTCTTATCTCAATTCAACTTCAAGGTTCTGAAAATTACTCAATTTGGAGTAGGTCAATGAAGATTGTGTTGCATGGTAAAAACAAACTAGGTTTTGTTTTAGGAACTTGTAGAAGAGAAATGTATGATCCTAGCTTGCATGAACTCTGGGACAAATGTAATGCCATTGTTCTAGCTTGGATAATGAACACGGTATCTCCTAGTCTAATTAGTACTGTGAGTTATGCATCCGATGCTCATAAGGTGTGGGAAGACCTCAAAGAGAGGTTTGATAAAGTGAATGCCTCTAGACCCTGTTATCTACACAAAGAAATTGTTGCACTAACCCAGGGCATATCATCTGTGTCTGTGTACTTTTCGAAGCTTAGGGAACTGTGGGATGAGTATGAGACACTAGCTCCTCCTCCTTCATGTGGATGTTCAGAGTCTGTCAAACATGCAGAACACTATCAATTGCAAAAGTTATATAAGTTCTTAACAAGACTGAATGATTCCTATAAGAATGCAGAGGATCAAATTCTTATGACAAGGCCTTTACCAAACATAAACCAAGCATATGTTATGATAGTAAATGTAGAAAGTCAAAGGAGAAATGGCAGTGGTGGAATTAATGCTAGCATTGGTGTTGATGGCAATGATGCAACTGCACTACTAAGCAACAGAGGAAACAACAATGGTAACATCAATTACAAAGCTAAGACCAACTACAGTTTTGGAAGGTCTGCACTTCAGTGTGACTACTGCAAGATTAAAGGTCACACAAGGGACAACTGCTACAAGCTGCATAGATATTCAGCTGATTTCAAATACAGGAGAAAGGGAGGCACTCCAAATACTTATGCTAACAATGTGTGTGGTGCAGGAAATTAGGGATTTGAAGCTCAAGAATCATCTCAACAAATAGCACCTACCTCTAATACAGCACCGCCAGCTCCAGTTCAGTTTTTCACTTCAGAACAATACAATCAAATTCTGCAAATGCTGAGCAAGGGAAAAGAGGGAGAACTATGGCTAATACAGCTCAAATGGGAACAACAGGTATTCCTATTGCCCTAATGTCTAGTCTAGGAAACCATAACTGGTTAGGGGCTACAAATCATATGGTACATTAGTTAGGCTTGCTTCTCAAATTCAAAGAACTATCACAAATGAGTAAAAATAAGGTACATCTACCTACTGGAGAGCAAGTTACTATCACTAAGACAGGAGAATCTCATATATTTCAGGACAAGACAATTGGAAAAGTATTATATTAATTTCAAATACAACCTATTATCAGTATCAAAGATCACCAAGGAATTACAATGTTGTGCAACATTCTTTCCTGATTTCTGTGTGTTTCAAGAACTCTCAAGTGGGAAGGTGATAGGGATTGGTAGAGAAGAGGATGGCCTGTACATTCTGAGGAACAGAAGAAACTCAAATTCATAGCAAGTCTCTGAGAATAAGGAGGTCTCAATCAGTCATCTTTAAATACCATTTCCAGTTTAATAAGTGAAGCTAGTTCCAAAAATAAAACTAAGACTGCTGATTTGTCTCTTTGGCATAGAAGACTAGGACATGATCCTTTAAGAGTGTTGAGGAATATTGAAAGCTTGTGTAACTCTCAGCTGAATAATCACATATGCTCTGTATGTCCTATTGCTGAATAGGCAAGACTAGCCTTTCTTCTAAGTACTACTTGTTCCGCTTAGCCTTTTGATCTTATGCATGCTGATGTATGGGGTCCTTATAAGTTTCCCACTCATGATGGTAAGAGATACTTTTTGACTCTAGTAGATGATTTCTCTAGATATACATGGCTCTTCCTAATGCCTACTAAAGCAGAGTCTATTGTTGTGCTAAGGAACTTCCTAATATATGCCAGAACTCAATTTGGCTATGGAGTGAAATGTCTTAGAACAGATAATGGTTCAAATTTTTTCAATGATCAGGTGAACAATTTGCTTAAGGAGTGTGGGACTGTACACCAAATTTCTTGTGTGTATACACCACAACAAAATGGTGTTGTAGAGAGGAGACATAGATATATCCTAGACATGGCAAGAGCATTAAGGTTTCAGGCATTTGTACACTTAAGGTTTTGGGGAGAGTGTGTATCCACAGCTGTATACCTACTCAACAGATTGCCTACTATGTTATTGAAAGGTCAGTCACCTTTCCAGAAGTTGTTCAACAAAGCTCCTTCACTATAGTATCTTAGAGTATTTGGTAGCATGTTCTATGCTACCACTATAAAGAGGGATGATACGTTTAGTCCAAGAGCAATTCCAGCAGTTCATCTTGGATATTCCACAACTCATAAAGGATATTATCTCTATGACCTAACCTCTAAGGAGTTCTTTGTAAGCAGAGACACTGTCTTTTAAGAAGACATCTTTCCCTTCAAGCACATGAACACTGGTCTTTCTCCTATGTTCTCTGTGGTGCAACTAGTTGAACCCGATCCTCCTGATTCAACTGCTGTGTCTGTTCCATTGAATTCACCTTCAAACTTCACTTCTGATGATGCTTCCCAGCCTTTCCCATTATTTCCTGCCAAGTATCCTTCTCCTCAGCCAGTATAACTTAGAAGATCCTCAAGGGAATCAAGGCCTCCTGTATGGATGGGAGATTATGTTGTTCAACAAAAGTCCTCATGTTCATATCCACTGTCCAACTATGTGATATATGACCACCTCACTCATGCCTACAGGTCTTCTTTAGCTACTTATTCAGCAATTGTAGAACCCAAGACCTATGCTGAAGCTAGTATTAATCCATTATGGGTGGATGCTATGAAGTCTGAAATTTTAGCTTTTGAGAGCAATAATACTTGGACAATTATAGACCTTCCTCCAGACAAAGTTCCTATAGGCTACAAGTGGGTGTTCAAGGTCAAGTACAAGTCCACAAGAGAAATGGAAAGATATAAAGCAAGGTTGGTTTCCAAATGCTACAACCAACAAGAAGGGTTGGACTACACTGAAACATTCTCCCTTGTAACTAATATGGTCACAGTAAGGTCTATAGTGGCTCTTACTGCTGCTTCTCATTGGTTTGTGTTTCAAATGGATGTTCATAATGCAATTTTGCAGGGAGAACTATGTGAAGAAGTTTATATGCAAATTCCTGATGGATTTTCAAGCCAGGGGGAGTATTAGAAGGCGTGCAAGTTAAATAAGTCTTTGTATGGACTTAAACAATCTCCTAGACAGCGAAACAAAGTTGACAGAAGCATTGATAAACCTAGGATTTGTACAGTCACACTATGACTATTTTTTGTTCACACATAGGAAGGGAGCAAATTTGGTGATTGTGCTTGTCTATGTTGATGATTTGCTTGTGACTGGCAATAATCTAAACTTGATTGAGAAGGCTAGAAAGGACTTTCAGAGCAGGTATAAGATGAAAGACATAGGGGAACTGAAGTACTTCTTTGGCATAGAGTTTTCTAGATCAGAGAAATGCATCCATATGTGTCAGAGAAAATATGCACTTGAGCTGCTATCTGAGACTAGTCTATCAGGAGGAAAACAAGCACTCACTCCACTAGAATTCAATCACAAGCTTACCTCCATAGAGTTTGATAAGGTGTTCAATAAGGAGAACTTGTTTGATGACAGGTTACTTGAAGACAAAAGTGATTATCAAAGAATAGTAGGAAGACTGTTGTACTTGACCATGACTAGACCTGACATAGCCTTTGTGGTACAGGTTCTTAGTCAGTTCATGCATGCTCCCAAGCAATCACATCTAGATGTTGCTATGAGAGTTATCATGTACATTAAAAGCAATCCTGGTCTTGTGCTATTTCTACCATCAACTGGCAGTCAAAAGCTGGTTGCCTTTTGTGATTCAAATTGGGGTGCTTGTGTAGAGACAAGAAAGTCAGTCACAGGTTATACTGTAAAGTTTGGTGATGCCTTAATCTCCTGGAAATCAAAGAAGCAAGGAACATTTTCAATTTCAAGAAGCTCAACTGAAGTAGAGTTCAGAAGCATGGCCACTACTGTTGCAGAGATAAAGTGGTTGGTTGGATTATTTGAGGAGTTGGGAGTATCAGTTGAGTTTCCAGTTCAACTTCACTGTGATAGCAAAGCTGCAATTCAAATTGCAGCTCATCCTATTTTCCATGAAAAAACCAAACACATAGACATAGACTGTCACTTTGTAAGGGAAAGGATTCAAGAAGAAATGATCCAAACTCAGCATATTGGTTTAAGAGAGCAACTGGCAGATATCATCACCAAGAGCTTATGTAGTCCACAACATGATTACTTACTTTGCAAGCTGGGAATGAAGAGTCTGTTTTCATCCCTCAGCTTGAGGGGGAGTGTAGAAGGAATAGATGTGCGGTCTAGTAGTTAATTTAATATATTATAATTAGGTAAAGTTAGTAGTTAAAAAGGGTAGGTTAATTAGTTAGTAGTATAAATAGAAGTTAGTTATACCCGTACAATAGCTTTTGAGAATCAGTTAGAACAGTTCATTTCTAATACAGAGAATGGAGCTTCTCCTTCTTCTTCACCGACTTTCTTCCTCTTCTGCCATGGCTGACTAGTTCAACATGTCTCACTGCTCCTCCGGACAATACTCCACCATAGGCACGGTTCACAGTCCTCCTGTTCCTAGATAATCTGGATCTCTTATACTCAGCTGGTCCCAAGTGAGGGATCTGCAGGAACAACAAGCTCTGGGTTAATAAATTGGTCTAAAATGCTTAAATAAATTGTTAACAACACACTGAGGCTAAGTACGAATCCAAAGTAGATTTCTTCATTCATTCTTGGAGTTCGATATTTTTCCTATTTCAAGATCTTCCGTACTACTTCCTTTGTCTCATAACATGTGTCGTGATTCTCTTGTATACCCCTCTTGTATACCCCTTAAAAAAGAATAGTTTTTGACTATTTTACCCTTATTAAATGTTTTTCAATTTATGTGACATCTCTATCAATAACATTATCCATATTTTCATAAAATGTGAATACAATGGATTATTAAGGGTAAAAAAGGAAAAATATTATCAATTTTGTCTTAAACTTCTAAAATGACAAATAATTTGAGACAACTATTTTTAGTAACCACGATAGATATAATGAGACGGGGAGTATGTGCTAATATAACTCCCTACCCTCATTAGTTGTATCATGGTTTTTTGTATTGTTAGAACATTGTTATTTGTCCAAACTATTCGTGTACAAAATCTGATAAATACTTTCAATGCCTTTCGAATAAGTGACAGGTAGGGGTGTACATAGGTCGGGTTGGTTCGGATTTTATAATGAGAAATTTTCATAAAGCACCATCTTTTAGTAGTAATTAGTCATCTATAGATACCATTTGCTATATTACGAATTATAAATACCCTTTTTGTGGTTATAAGATGTATTTGATGTATTTAAGCTATTGTATTCATGAATACAGTAGCAAAAATAGGTGTGAATCATGGAAGTCCAGCTAATCAGTTGTTGTATTCGAGTGTATTCGACTGCATTCATGGAGTTGAAATGTGGATTACAGCTGGACAGATTATTGTATTCGACTGTATTCACGACGTGAAATAAGGGATTACACTGTTTTTAAACCGGAAATGAATCAATTAACATAATAGACTCCTAATATAACTCAACAAACTCAATTATAACACACAAATTTTGTATTTTCAGTTACAAAAAAGATTCTCAACCGAAAAATACCCCAAAAATATAGCAATCTTTAGAGAAATTATATAATACATCTGAATACATAAATTATATTAATTAAAAAAAACATATGAATACATTCATGACATATAGCGAGAAAGTGAATACAATGAAATACATAGAATACAATGGGATACATTATAAAAAAGACAGTGAATATAATGAAATACATGGAATACAACGAAATACATTATAAAAAAGACAGTGAATATAATGAAATACAACGAAATACATTGAATTATAATGAAAAAAAGACAATGAATACAATGAAATACATGAAAATACATTGAAATATATTAACAGAAAATCAAGTTGCTCCGACCCAAACTCCGTCGTCTTTGTTCAAGAACAAACCCTAATTTCCAGCGAATCCGCCGTTCACCGGAAGCCGATAGTGAAAACGCGCTGCCTTGGTCCGGCGATTGTGCCTTCAATGGCAAAAAACAACGTCAAAGCCATTTTCTCTAAAGGAGTAGAAATCTCATCAAGATCTAAGCACTGAATAGTACTTGGTATAAAAAAAAGGGGTAGAATTGTCAAATAAGGAGGAAGGGAGAATGCCATACGGGAAAGGACAGAAAAGGATGGTAGCAACGGGGATGTTGACGAAGACGTAATGAAGTCATTTTCTTCTGGAAATGGAATTGGGCCCAAAACCCAAATACACAAAACAGGTCATTACGTAGACCATTTCATCGGTGGAGAAAATATATGAGGAAGGACATATTCAAGTGCAGACGGACGGTACGATTGATTCACCTCCATGCCCGAGAGTTCTAGTAATAAGATGAAGGTGGAAGATGAGAGAGAGATGACGAATAGATATGGGGTAGGGGATACAAGAAATTTGAAGGGATAAAAGAAATTTAAGTGGAAAGAGAAAAATAATACAAAACTTATTTTATGGCTTAAAGGTAGGAGGTGACCATAAATAGATATTTGGCTATAAAAAATCAAAAGGTAGCTATAGAATATAATTTTTTAAAAGGGTATTTATTTAAAATAAATAAGGTATCAACCTTTGCTATAGGAGGTAACTAATCCTTTTATAATTACCAAACCAAACCAATTGTGTAGGATTATTAAATCTAAAAACCAAACCAAACCAATAAAACTCGGGTTTTTCAATCTCGATTTTTCTCGGATTATTCGGGTTTTTTTTCGGATTTTTTTCCGGTAAAATCTTCGTAGAACCAAACATACAAGTTGTGTTCAAAATATTTCTTTAATCCTACTAAGATATAACTATATAAAGTATTTTCCAAGAAAAAAAATACAAAATATGAGATGTGTCATGGCATTATCCTAAAATATTCAACAAAAAGATAATAAATTTATGTAATATAAGTATTGCTAATTAAAAAGCCATAATAAAAATAAACATAATCTAAAAGTACTAAGTCATGCTAAAATAAATAGACTAATAAGGGAGTATCAATTACATGACTAAATGCTAAAGAAAAAATAAAAGGTTATGTTTTTTTATCTAAATTATTGCAAAACAAAAAATAGATATTCAATACACACCCGTTCGTAGTATTGAATTGAATGTCATTTGTTAGCATTAGTATTGATTTGATTTTGATTTGGTCTTTTGTTAGCATTATTTAATTTACTAATATTAATGGCTATAAAAATTATTGGAACATTCAAAAGTTCTATGTCCAACCTTGAAATAATACCTTAAAAGATAAAATTATGAAATTTTTTAAGAAATATTTATAAATTACATCACAATAAATATATTTATATATTAAATATATCTAAAATTTCTATATATGTAATGTCGGGTTGGTTTGGTTTCGGTTTGACTTTCTTTAGTTAAAACCAAACCAAACCAATTATAGTCGAGTTTTTTTTTTCCAACACCAAATCAAACCAAACAATAGTCGGATTTTCTTTTTCCGATTTAACTCGAATTATCGGATTGATGTGATTTGTCGATTTTCTTTGTACACACCGGTTGACAAGTAACTTTATCGTTTTTGCTAGTTCTTTCCTTCCAAGAGTAAGTTTCACCTTTATCAATGCAAAATGTGACGGCTTTCAAATTTGACCATTATATTTACACTTTAGTAGCCATCAACTTCTGAATTCATAATAAGGGTAAAGTGTCCAACCTCACTTTTTGTTCATGTAAGATATATATTCAGTGTTTTGGTGTCAAAAATTTGATCTTTCACTCTCTTTTAGTCGCGTCACATAGTTAATAAGTGTCTTTAGGGCATTGATGATATATGTTGCTCGAACTCTTCAAAAATGTTATTGTATCTGTGTTAAATGCATTATTTTTAGAGGATCCGACACGTACCAAGAGACATTTTAGAGAGTCCGAGCAGCTGATGATGACAATGTATTCATAGTACGTACATGCATGTGCATCAAGAGTTCCCAGTTAGGTAAATTTTTATTGTGTAGAATCAACACTTCCCACCAATTCTTTCTTCACTTCTTTTAGGTGGGAGTAAATTTATAAGAATAGCGGCAGTATAGTGGGGCGAAAATATAGTGCAAGTATTACTGCTGTGTAAATATAGTGTGCATGTGTTAGCTAAAAGCACCCATTAGCTATGTGAGGTAACTAAAAGATACTGAAAATTCAAATTTCGACTCAAAACATAAATCTATTCATAAGGAATATAATGGATATCGGACATGCACGAAAAGTGAGCTTGGACATTTTGGACATAACACTTTATCTTAATGCAAAATACAAAAGTGACGGCTACTAAAACAACAATATAATGGTCAACTTTAATAGATATCACCTTTTGTATTGCAAAATGTGAAGCTCGTTTCTGAAGGAAAAGAACTACTAGCAGAAAAAAGGAGGAAGTTAACCGCTTATTTAGTCACATGGAATTGAAGCCATTTTATCAAAGTTTGGATGTTTTGGAAACGAATATTTGGACAAATAACAGCGTCCATGGCCATGATACAACTACTAACTAAAGAGAGATAGGAAAGCTAAAGTTTGCATTTAGCACTATCCACTCCTAGTATGGAAGATCTTGACCAAAGAAAGGATATTGAACTCCAAACATGTCTTCTTGATAAGGTAGAACAAAATAGATAACTTTAATAATTCATGTTTGATTAATTGTCCTTTAATGACATAGTTCGTTGCAACTGTCTTAATCTAAGTATTATTGAGTACCATTGTTGTCTCAATATGATTTTGTTTCTAGGCTAAATCAAGGTCTTTCAAATCGTCTCTCTACTTAGAAGGGCATGATAACTCTTCCTGAACCACTGCAGTTGAACTTTTGCGTTATTTCCTTAATTATAGCTTGCNTATATATATATATATATATATATATCGTCGAAAGCTCGCCTACGACATGGTAAGTCAGACTCAGAACATGGCAATAAAGGACTGAAGATCGACCCCAAATCCCACCGGGCTAGAACCCGGGGCCAGAATGCCTGCCTTCGAGAATATCGAGGTCGTGATCCCAGAATCGATCCTAGCCCCGAACGAGCTCGAAGCAACATTGCTAGCATAGCCAACAGAAGACCGAAATACTCGTGACCGGTCGGATATTACAGCGGGAATCTCGGCACTTATCAATAAGGAACCGGCAATAAGCAAATCAATAGATTTTTTTACCTTTTATAGAATTGTACATAAAATAGGACTCCTCTACTATATAAAGAGGGTATGATAATTCATTTAGCATATGGTAACACGCATTCCAAAGCTATACATTATTATTTCTCTCTTTAAGCTCTTATTCTTCTGCAACTTGATACCAATCGAAGTGCATCTAGTTCGAGTGTGACTGACCTCCCAAGACCGTAACTTTCAATTCGTGTGCTTTTGGTTTACTTTATCATTGTTTATTTCAATTGCAACTTAATTTATTATTTTGTGTCAAGTTAATCCGCATATCCTTAAAACCACTTACAAATTCAATTATTATCCGATATTGAGGGTAAACAGTTTGGCGCCTACTGTGGGGCTAAGGATGATAGTGGTTATTTGATACAAATTTCCATAACACACACTACTTTACACTTGTTCTTTGAAGTGCCTCTAATTTTAGGTTAAAGCTCAAAATGTCAAACTCACAATCGACACCCCTACATGTTGACAATGAGTTCGACCATCACGGTAAAAATAACAACATAGTGCCCAGTGACGAGGTACTACCGATTGATCCCATCGGAATTTCAGTCGTGGACCTGATTGACGCTAACTCGCATGTGGCTATCGGCACAAATCTGCCTACCGACCCCGAGAATAACGTCCGTGGTGGAGCCCGATTGGCAGCTCAAAATACACAAAACATTAGAGGAGACAGGATCAATTTACGGATGATCTTTGAAATGTTGCAGGCTCAACAGACGGCGATAGCCTAGTTACAGAATCAAAGCCGCACACCGAGCAAAGTTGCACCCAATCCATCTCGGGAAGTCACCCGTAGGCATGAACCGATCGTAGAGAGTTCGAATGAAAATGAATCAGGGACTAACCCCGAGATCATAAACATGCTGAGGAACTAAAAAAATGGGTAGAATCAGGAGAGAAGAAAATCGAAGCTAATGACAAAAAGGTTGAAACCTACAATTCCAAGGTCGACCAAATCCCAGGAGTGTCGCCGATATTGAAAGGCCTGGATTCCAAGAAGTTCGTGCATAAACCTTTTCCTCCAAGCGCTGATCCAAAGTTGATCCCTAAGAAGTTCCGCATACCCGAGATTCCTAAGTACAACAGAATGACCGACCCAAATGCGCATGTAACCTCCTACACATGTGCTATCAAAGAGAACGACTTGAGAATGATGAGATCGAGTCTGTCTTATTGAAAAAGGTTGGGGAGACCCTATCAAGAGAATTCGTGTCTCGGTTTCAAATGGAACAGATGGACCTGCCACCAGTCGCTGATGATTGGGCAGTTCAGGCTTCCACCCATGGACTCAAGATTTGGATCTCGTTGGCTTCACAACAGTTGAAACAAAACTAGGTAGAATATCTGGCTTTCACTTGGGCCGATGTCCATAACTGGTGTCAATCGAAAATCAGGGTCGAAGATGATCAGCTTGGGCCCCTTCCGGGTTCGTGTATACTATCAAAACCATCGATAGAGTCAAGAGAGACATTGATTTTGAATTGACTTAAACAGGGATCGAGATCGGCCGTACAACGGAGACCTAAAAAGCAGTGGGTCCAGGAGGAACTCTATAAGAAATGAAAGGAGAAATAATCTAGGTTAGAGCAACCAGTGACTCATGAGCAAAAATAGCTTCGACAGGCTCGTCGGGCCTAAAAAAGCACCGAGATTATTGGAGTACAACTTCAACGTCGATGTCGCCGCTATTGTATCTGCCATCGGGCGCATAAAAATACCAAATGTCCTAGACTTTTACAGTCTGATCCATCCCAAAGGGATCCTAACCTAATATGCAAATATCATGGCACTCATGGACATAGAACAGAAGACTGCCGACAAGTAAGAGAAGATGTGGCCCGACTATTCAACAACGGACATCTCTGAAAATTCCCGAGTGATCAGGCCAAGAACCACTTCAGGAACATGGACTCTAATAAGCAGACCGAGCAGGAAGAGCCCAAGCACGTCATCAACATGATCATCGGTAGGATCAACATTCCCCAGGGTCCGATGCTGAAACGCACCAAAGTATCCATCATAAGGGAAAAACAGACTCGGGATTACGTACCGGAAGGAACCTTGTCTTTCAATGATGAAGACACTAAGGGGATCGTGCAGACCCACAACGATGCACTGGTAATATCAGTACTCGTAAGTAAATCTTGAATTAAGCGTGTGTTAATTAATTCAGGTAGCTCAGCCAACATCATCATATCAAGGGTCGTAGAACAATTTGGCCTACAAGATCAGATCCTACCTGCGGTCCGAGTCCTGAATAGGTTCAACACGGCATGCGAGACCACTAAAGGGGAGATAACATTATCGGTGAATGTCACCGAAACTGTACAAGTAGCCAATTTCTATGTAATCAAACGGGATATAGAGTAATACCATTGACGTTGTATCAGGTGCTGAAATTCCCAACACCCGGAGGAGTCAAAATAGTTTATAGGGAACAACCGGCCGCCAAGGAGATGTTTGCGGTCGATGAAGTGATCCCAGCATCCACACGCTCAACATCAGAGGATCCAAATCAGATGGTCCAAGATAGGGCCAAATAGCAATCACCGATACCAGCCTCGACATAGTCGGAGGAACGAGGGGTAGACGAGGATGACGACTAAGGGGTCCCCAGATCTTTCATAGCCCCCGACGATTCCGATGCTACAAAATCAATTGTGGAGGAACTGGAACAACTCGTACTAACTAAACACTTGCCCGATCGAAAGGTATACCTGGGCACGGGATTAAGCCCTGAGCTCAGGAAAAAACTTATTCAATTTCTTATAGCTAACGAAGATTGCTTCGCTTGGTCCCACCTTGATATGAAAGGGATCCCACCAGAGATAACCACCCACAAGCTAAGCCTGGACCAGAAGTTCCACCCAGTCAAGCAGAAGAGGAGACCCCAGTCCGAGGTCAAACATGTTTTCATCAAGGACGAGGTATCTAAACTCCTTAAAATAGGGTCCATTCGGGAGGTTAAATACCCGAATTGGTTAGCAAGCGTAGTGGTAGTACCTAAAAAAGGAATAAATTAAGAATGTGTGTAGACTATAAGGATTTGAATAAGGCATGCCCCAAGGACTCCTTCCCTTTACCCAACATCCATTGCATGATCGATGCCACGGACGGCCACGAGATCCTCAGTTTTCTCGATGCCTACTCCGGGTACAACCAAATACGGATAAACCCGGGTGATCAGGAAAAAACTTCCTTCATCACTAAGTACGTCATATACTGCTATAACGTGATGCCATTCAGATTAAAAAATGCTGGTGCTACTTACTAACGCCTAGTAAACCTGATGTTCGAGGCACAAATAGTAAATCATGGAGGTTTACATTGATGATATGTTGGTTAAGTCCCTGCGAGCAAAGGACCATCTAAAACATTTGCAGGAAACTTTCAACATATTGAAAAAGTACAATATGAAACTGAACCCAGAGAAATGTGCATTTGGAGTCGGATCAGGTAAATTTCTTGGATTCATGGTATCCAACCGGGGAATCGAGATCCACCCCGACAAGATCAAAGCTATCAAAGATATTGTAGTTGTAGACAATGTGAAGGTCGTGCAAAGATTAACTAGACGCATAGCCGCCCTGGGGCGATTCATCTCGAGGTCCTCCGATAAGAGTCACAAATTCTTCTTACTACTAAAGAAGAAGAATAACTTCTCATGGACCCCAGAGTGCCAATGGGCCTTGAAGGAACTCAAGCGGTATCTATCGAACCCACTGTTGCTTCACATGCCAAAGATAGACGAACAACTATACATGTACTTGGCAGTATCGGAGATAGCGGTTAGTGGAGTCCTGGTTCAGGAAGAGCAAGGTACGTAATTTCTAATTTACTATGTTAGCCGGACTCTAGGAGAGGCTGAAACTAGGTACCCTCACCTAGAATATTGGCGCTCGCTTTGATAAACGCCTCTAGGAAGCTGAAACTATATTTTTAATGTCATCCTATATGTGTTGTGACTACTTACCCATTGCAAAATATAATGCATAAACCCGATCTCTTGGGAAGATTGGCCATGGTTTGGTGGGCTACTACCGTCATTTTGTGGAGGGGTTTTCATTGATTGCAGCCCCTATGACCAGATTGACCTAGAAGGGTGCTCCGTTTCAGTAGACAGAGGAGTGTGAGGCGAGATTTTAGAAGCTCAAGACAGCTTTGACTACAACCCCAATTTTGATACTGCCTACAGGTTCAGGGTCTTATACTGTCTATTGTGATGCCTCAAGGGTTGGCCTCGGAGCGGTGTTGATGCAGGATGGTAGGGTGATTGCCTACTCGTCCAGATAGTTGAAGATATATGAGAAGAACTACCATGTTCAGGACCTTGAGTTAGTTGCCATTGTTCACGCCTTGAAGATTTGGTGCCATTATTTATACGGGGTTCTTTGTGAGATTTATACTGACCATCAGAGCTTGCAGCACCTGTTCAAGCAAAAGGATCTAAATTTGCGCCAGAGGAGGTGGTTAGAGTTGCTAAAGGACTATAATATCACTATTTTGTATCACCTGGGCAAGACCAATGTGGTGGTCGGTGCTTTGAGTTGCCGGGCAGAGAATTTGGGGAGTTTGGCTTATTTACCAGCATCAGAGAGGCCTATGGTGATGTATGTTCAGGGCTTAGCCAACCAGTTTGTGAGATTGGATCTTTCGAAGCCTAGTCGGGTTCTAGCTTGCGTGGTTTCTTGGTCTTGCTTATTTGATCATATCAGGGAGCGGCAGTATGATGACCATCATCTGCTTGTCCTTAAGGACAAGGTTCAACACGGTGATGCCAGAGATGTGACTATTGGTGATGATGGGGTATTGAGGATGCAGGGTCGGATTTGTGTACCCAATGTTGATGGGCTTCGAGAGCTGATTCTAGAGAAGGCCCATAGTTTACGGTATTCCATCCATCCGGGTGCTACGAAGATGTACCAGGATTTGAGATAGCACTATTGGTGGAGGTGGATGAATATAGTTAGATTCGTAGCTCGGTGTCTCAACTGTCAGCAGGTGAAGTATGAGCACCAGAGACCGGGTGGGTTGCTTCAGCAGATAGAGATTCTGGAGTGGAAGTGGGAGCGGATCACTATGGACTTTGTAGTTGGGCTCCCGCGGACTTTGAGGAAGTTTGATGCTATTTGGGTGATTGTGGATTGGCTGACCAAGTCCGCTCATTTCATTCCTGTGTGTACTACTTATTTCTCAGAGCGGTTGGCAGAGATTTGTATTTGGGAGATTGTCTGTCTGCATGGTATTCCAGTGTCTATCATTTCAGATAGAGGTACTCAGTTTACATCACGGTTCTGAAGGGATGTTCAACATGTGTTGGGTACTCGGGTGGAGTTGAGTATAGCATTTCACCCTTAGATGGACGGACAGTCCGAGCGTATTATTCAGATTCTTGAGGATATGCTCTGTGCGTGTGTGATTGAGTATGAGGATCTTGGGATTAGTTCTTGCCATTGGTGGAGTTTTCTTACAACAACATCTATCAGTCTAGCATTCAGATGGCACCGTGTGAGGCTTTATATGGGAGATGGTGTAGATCTCCGGTGGGTTGGTTTGAGCCGGGTAAGGCCAGATTATTAGGCACAGACTTAGTTCAGGATGCTTTGGAGAAGGTTAAGGTGATTCAGGATAGACTCCGTACAGCCCAATCCAGATGGAAGAGTTATGCGGATCGGAAGGTTCGTGATATTTCCTATATGGTTGGAGAGCGGGTTCTGCTTCGGGTTTCGCCTATGAAGGGCGTTATGAAATTTGGGAAGAAAGGAAAATTGAGTTCGAGGTTTATTGGCCCTTTTGAGATATTGAGGTGTGTTGGAGAGGTTGCTTATGAGCTTGCCTTACCTCCCAGCTTGGCAGGAGTTCATCCGGTATTTCATGTTTCGATGCTCCGGAGGTATCACAGTGATCCGTCGCACGTGTTGGATTTTAGTTCAATCCAGTTGGATAAGGATCTATCTTATGTTGAGGAGCCAATGACAATATTGGACAAGCAGGTTAGAAAGTTGAGGTCAAAGAACATTGCTGCAGTAAAGGTTCAGTTGCGGGGTTAGCAGGTCGAGGAGGTGACCTGGGAGACTTAGCAGGATATGCGTAGCCGTTACCCTCATCTTTTCATCACTTCAGGTATGTCTTTATGCTCGTTCGAGGATGAACGAATGTTTAAGTGTAAGAATTAACGTCCCGATCCCCTATTAACTGCTTTCCCCAAGTTTATTTCTACTATTTTGATTTGCCGGGATGTTCGATTTTGAGTTTCGGAGAAGTTTTGGGACACTTAGTCCCTAAATAAGAGCTTAAGTGTTGGATAGTTGACCGTAGTCGGAATAGTGTGAAGACAGCCCCGGAATAGAAAACCGATGGTTCCGTTAGCTCCGTTGGATGATTTCAGGCTTAGGGGTGTGTTCGAATTGTGTTTTGGAGGTCCGTAGCAAATTTAGGCTTGAAATGCCGAAAGATGAATTTTTGAAGTTTCCGGTCCGATAGTGAGATTTTGATTCGAGGGTCGGAAAGGAATTCCGGAAGTTGGAGTAGCTCCGTAGTGTTGAAAGTGACGTGTGTGCAAAATTTCAGGTCATTTGGACGAGGTTCGATAAACTTTTTGATTGAAAGCGTGTTTTTAGAGTTTTGGAATTTCTTAGGCTTGAATCCGATGAAAAATAGGTGTTTTGATGTTGTTTTGAGCGTTTCGAAGGTTGGAACAAGTTTGAATGATGTTTTAGGATTGGTTGGCAGGTTTGGTTGAGGTACCGGGGGCCTTGGGTGTATTTCGGATGCTCAACGAACCACTTTTGGACTTGGAAAGATTGCAGATTTTCTGTTGTTGTGTTGCAGAGAAAACACTCATCGCGCTCGTGAGAGGGTCTCGCGTTCGTGTTGAGCATCTGGGTGAAGCAACTGAAATGTGCTTCGCATTCGCGAAGGTAAGGACTCGTTGGTCTTCGCGTTTGCGACATGGTCCCCGCATTCGCGTAGGGTCTGCCCATGTAAGCTACGCAGTCACGAGTGGACCTCGCGTTCGCGAAAGAGGAATTTGGCCAACAGGACTTTTGTTCATCACATTCGTGATAGTAGCCTCGCGTTCGTGAAGAAGAACGCGCCTGGGCAGATATAAGATTTCAAATCGAGGGTTTTAGCCATTTTTATCAAAACTTCAGCTTGGGAGCTAGGATTTGAGCGAGATTTTGAGGGATTTTCAGAGATATCGATTGGGTAAAGATTCTTAACTCATTTTGGTTGTAACCCATTAATCTAAACATGAATTCATCCTTTAATTTCGGAATTTGTATGAAAATTGGGAAAAAGTTCTTAGACCAAGGAATTGAGTTTTGATTAGGGATTTGACATTGGATTGGGATAATTTTGATATGGTTAGACTCGTGTGAGTGTGAGGATTCTGAAAATATAAATTTTACCCGATTCCAAGATGTGGGCCTGAGGGACATTTTTGGTCATTTTACCTAATTTCGCATATTAGTTTAGAATTTCTTTGTAGAATCAGTTACTTGAAGTGTTATTTATGTTATGAAATTGAATTGAATAGATTTGGGCCATTTGGAGTCGAGTACTTGTGGCAAGAGCGTGGTTTCGGATTGATTATTAAAACGGTTCGAGGTAAGTGACTTGTCTAACCCTGTGTGGGGGACCTTCCCCTTAGGATTGATATATTTGGTAATTGAGATGTCTTGTACGTGAGGTAACGAGTGCGTACTTGTGCTAATTGTTGGAAATCCGGTTTTCTTTAAGTAATTACTAGTATGTTTCCTTTCCTGTTTCTATTACTTGCACTATTAAGCCTGTTGTTAGTTTTTGAAAGCATGTATAAGTGACTTAATTGCTTTATTTGCTCAACCTGCCTTACTTGAATTCTGTGCAGCATGCTAGGCTAGAATCACTTGTTGCCTTAATATGAAATTTTGCCATTTCTGTATATCTTCCTGTTGATGCTGTGTATTTATTTTGGGACTACGGATGTGGTATTCCGGTAGCTCCCCCTTGTCTGTTTATTTTGGTACTACGGATGTGGGATTCCAGTAGATCCCCCTGGACAGTTATATGGAACTATGAGAATGCACCCGATAGATTCCCCCAGTATTGGGTATTTACATTTGGGACTACGGAACGGGATTCCGGTAGATCCCCACACACTATAAGTTGGACTATGGGATCCCGGGAGATCCACTGGACATGTACATATGGGACTACAGGACAGTATCCTGGGAGATCCCTGATTGTTATTATTGGTGCTGAGCTGTATTTTCTTTCCATGTTTACCTTGTTTCTGTATAGTTGTTGCTGTCCTGTACATCCTGTGTTATTTTACTGACGTACTTATTTATATTGTTCTGTTCTATAATGTTGATCTTTATATTTTATTTAACCTCAGTAGGGCCCTGACCTTCCTCGTCACTACCCAACCGAGGTTAGGCTTGGCACTTATTGAGTACCGCTGTGGTGTACTCATGCCCCTTCTGCGCATGTTTTTCATGTGCAGATCTAGGTACCGCTACTCAGGCCTACCATCCTTGAGGGAGGCGACTGCTCTAGAGACTTCGAGGTACATATGTCGCGTCCGCAGACCGAGAAGTCCCTTTTTATTCTAGCTGTTAAACATTTCCCTTCTGTATTTTTCTTTCTTGTTAGATATTCTGGACTTAGACTGTTAGATATTCCAAAATCTTGTGTTTCCGTGAGTTTTCGGGTTTTGGGATAGTGTATTTAGTTTTGAGAATGTTATGTTGTATATGCCGAGCGACATTATAACTATTGTTCCATTTAGTTATTTTTGGTTTTTGATTATTTCTTCCGCAAGTTTTGTTTATGTCCCGCATTTGTTAGGCTTACCTAGTCGTAGAGACTAGGTGTTGTCACGACCATTCACGGAGGGCAAACTGGGGTCGTGACAAGTTATGTACTCAGTCGCATTCATCATTGCATATCATATCTCGGTCTCTGTTATCATACATTGTCACATCATGTATCATTGATCTAGGTTGCTTGGCATGAGTATTGTGATTCCGGGAGACTAGAGAGCATGATGATTGAGTGAGGCCGAGGGCCTGTTTGTGAGTATTGATGGGATAGGGCGGTTACTATTAACACATGATGGGATCGGGTTGCACGCCGCAATAGGTATTATTGATTTACGTTGGGATTGGGTTGCACGCCGCAGCAGGTTTTATTAGCACTTGAGGCAGGATTCGACCTTCTGGAGTCTGCACACCCACAGTGAGTGCAATTGCTAATGATTCATGATGGGATCGGGCTGCATGCCGCAGTAGGTACCGTACAATGCTGAGTAATTGAGTGTGATGAGTGAGAATTGAGATAGTCAGGTTGAGCACTCTGAGAGTGTGAGCACACAAGGCTTTCATTGTGTTGCATCACATACGATATGCATATTGGCGTGTAGATATAAAGATGTCATATTCCTCATATCATTCAAACTTGGCATATTTTATCTGTATTGAGCTTAACTGTTAAACCTGGAAGCATGTCTACATTCCTATACTGGCACTTGCAGATTATGAGTTTCTCTAAGATATTATTGTCATATATTCTATCAAATTCCTGTACTGTTTAATTCTGTATTTTGGACTGTATTGTTCGAGCTCGTTACTGCTTTCAGCCCAAAGTTAGACCCATTACTTATTGAGTCAGTTGTACTCACGCTACACTTTGCACTTAGTGTGCAGATCCAAGTATTTTTGGACACGGTGATTGCTATTTTCTAGAGCTTCATCAGTCGGAGATTATCGAGGTAGCTGCATTGGCGTCCGTAGACCTTGATTTTCCTCCTATATTTTAGTTTTGTTTATACTGTTCTACTTTCCTAGACAGTGTTTCAGTTGTCAGATAGTGTTATTTCATAGATGCTCATGTACTCCGTGACACCCGAATATTTTGGGAAACTCAGTATTGAGTTGTGGCATTTTCATTCAGTTTTTATGATATTTTCACTTATTTAAACCTATTTCAGTATATTTTGAATCTAATATATTGATATGTGTGAGTTGTCGGCTTGCCTAGTATCATGATAGGCGTCATCACGACACTTGTGATTTGGGGTCATGACACATAAAGAATGATTTTACTAATCCAATAATAAATAGACAATGTTTCACCCTCATTTGAGTCCAACTATGCCCTTTTGTTATCTTACAGATTCCAAAACTCTCCTAGACAACTCAATTAACCCCTTGAAAGAAAATATAGGTTCATTGTGATCTAGGTCGACTCATCATTCTATATCACCACAATCACTCGATTCCACACATATAGACAATAACATTTTGTTATAGAATAGGAGGCAATGTGAATTGTAAAGTTTAACTTTAAACTAGAAACATGTGGGGTCACAAGGGCGCAAAGGTCCTAAGGAGAAAAAAACAACGAAATTAATTCATCGAGGACACTAAACTAACACGAATCTAAGACACATTATGAGCCACGATGCATTGAAAGGAATGGCTTTACTAACAATATAAGACATGACAAAATTCGAAAAGCACTGTTCTACTAGACAATGATATTTCAACTTTGATCTTAAGAATACATAGTAACTCTGCCCGTTAAAATGAAAGGGAAGAAGATAACAAAGAATAAGTGAAAGAAAGATACATTACCCGCCCACTAGCGCGCTTCTTGGTGCTCTGATACACCAACTTCCCACTTATATATTCCATTCAATCCCATCAAATACATCAACAATTATTCGACGCAATACCGAAGCTAAGCTTATTGATGCATATCACAACAGAGGAGAGGTACCCGTCGCTTGCGGAGTTGCACTTTGCCGTTGGAGTTAATTTTAAAGAAGGAGAATTCTAGTTTTGTCATTAGCACTTTAGTAGTAGTGATTTTATTTTACAAATTTTTAGTATTACAACTAAGTCCCTGGACATTTAGCTTTCTAGCAGATTCCATCTTTTGCCAATACAGTTATTGGCAGGACAGCTGAGCAGAGGAGCTCGTACTGTTTCCTTACTTAGCAATCTTATCCTATTTTTTGATTTCATCATTTATATCTATTGTAATAGCTACTAGGGTTTGTTATCAATAAAACTCTCCTAGCTTAATTTTAGCTTAGCTAGTCTTCTTTTCTCTTCCAAACTTTATATTGTTCCATTGCTGCTACATCATTTGGTATCAGTGCATTGCTCTTCGGATTGTGAGTAATGGCTTCCGATATCAAGAACCTAGCTAACACTGTCGAAAGTCTTTCGATAGAGATAGCAAACACCACAATGCGGCAAAACCAGATGGAAGAGAATCGTTATAATACCCTAACGAGTTGAGGGAAGCACTACAAGCTTCACAAAAACAGCATGATAAGGGCAAGAGCTCAGCTGAGCTAGATCTAGGTGGTGAGCTATATTCACCAACAGTGAGTCCAGAACCTAAGTATTGCAAAAGTGGACTCAAAACACCAAAATAGGTGAAAAATAGAATTGAGAACATTTTTATATTAGCGCATGAAATTCATGCGCTATACCTAGCGCATGAATTACATGCGCTATGTCTGTTATTTATCTGACCCACAATAATTAGTGCGCATAGTGCATGTCTTATATGAGTTATATTTACATTGCATATAAGACATGCGCTATAACCGCCAATTATTATCCCCCTCGTACTAATATTTGCTTACTTAAGGACCAGCTTTCCTTCTTAAAAAATTCATTCTGAAATATTCGTTCTTTAGCATCCTTTGTATTTTGCTTACTCATTCTGACATATTTACTTACTCAATTTTTTTGCATTTTGCTAGAATGTCTGAAGATCGAAAATTAGGGTTTCATTATATTGTGGGGTAGGGTTGATGTTGTCGTGGAGAATAACTCAGTACACTATAGTTGTTCTCCGTAGAGTATTATTAAGTTTTCACTCACATTGTAGTATGATATATTGGTATCTTTGATTTGTAAAAGAATGAGTGTGATTAAATGTTCAGTTAATATTAAGGTAACCGAAAGATACCCTTATTCGCTTACTCTGCAAGGGGTTGCTTGTTATGCTGAGTTTAACATCGAAGATTTTTGAGGACTCTGAATGAACGTCAGGATCTTCTTGTGATAAAAATGCTGGAAATGTACGTCAAGTCTGAAGACGTCAACAATATTGGGATTCCGCAAAATATGGATAACCCTAAATTATCTAGTGGTATTTTTGGAGAAGTTTTATCCAAACGGGTTCCGTTTGGAAGAGTCTGGCGATATCTAAACTTATCTCCATGGGTGAATGAGGAGCGAGGACAATATAATGCAACCCTACTTTTTTGCTCTTTAGATTTTCTGGCAAAATGCAGAAAAAATTGAGTAAGCAAATATTTCAGAATGAGTAAGCAAAATACAAAGGATGCTGAAGAATAAATTTTTCGGAATGAATTTTTGAAGAAGGAAAGTTGGTCCTTGATCCAACTCCAATCCGTACTCAATAATGAGTGGAAATGGCCGTTGAAAGAATAGTACCTAACAAGAGTCGGGGTCGATTTCCACAGGGAGTTTAATATTGGTGTTAGAGGTATACACTTGATGAGAGCAAATGAAATAACTAAATTGCGCTTCCAAACAAAGGATTTTTGTTTTCTACTTTTAATTTATCATTAGCAATTATGAACTAAGGAGAAGAAACTAAAAAGCGAATGATTGTGTTTGTTGTTTTCTAAAATAGTTAAAAAAGCCTAGGAATGTGACATTTACCTAGGTGTTCGCCTAATGGGTTAAGTATATTAACACTTATTTTGTTGATCGGGGTGTATTATAACTCTCAACTCTATGTCACCCACTTAATATCTCTCACTCATAGAGTAATTTAGTTCAATTTGACTTTCTCAAGCCTAAATGGGTATCAAGATAAATAGTTGATATGAGCTCAAGTCGGATTTTCCCTATCTCTAGTTCAAACCCTTTAATTAGACTAATCAAAATTTAATTAGCCCAATTTCTTGTTAGACAAGCTTTCCTAGACTAAGTCCATCTTTCTCTAGTAAAGACCAAGTCAAAAAGGCATGAATCAATATTTATAACCATTAATTCTAAAATTAAAGCATAAACTAGGCTAACTAATCAACACCCAATCGTAAATAAGCATTAAATTAAATACCCATAAGGTTTGCACACTAGATTTGGATCACAACCCTAGTAAGAGTCTAGCTACTCATCGTGGAAAATGAAGAAAACAAAGAAGAAATACTAATTAAACTCATAATCTAAGATTAAATTGATGAAATATGATGTTAAATCCCAAAATAGTCACAAACTTCCTAAAATAGCAAAATATAACGGCTACAGTGGCTCAAACTTCAAAACTTGACCTAAAAATATGATTCCTATCTATTTATAGTGGCTCAAAATTCACAGACAAAAATGCCCCTCGGTAGGTTCTGCAGCCGCACAATTCCATGTGCGTTCCACAGATTGCTTCAGCTTGCAAGGATTTGAATTCTGCAGCCGCACCATTTGGTCTGCGACTGCAAGTCAGCTTTTGCAGCCACACAATTCTTGTGTGGTCCGCACTTTAGGGAAGACTTTAGTCTTGGTCATTTACACACTCTCTAAACTTGTTGAACTTTGTCAGTGCACACCATGATTTGCGGCCGCACAATTCATGTGTGATCCGCACATCTGCTTAAAGTTTTCTTGGCCTCTTCACTCATTCTTCGGACGCAAAGGGAATTCTCCGGTCCGCTCTTTGTTCTGCGGCCGCAGAAATACCTATAAGGACCGCATTTCTTGTGTGTTGCACCTCTTCTTGCCTTGTGAGTCAGAACACTCTTTTTGAGTTGGGTTTCTTCATAAGAGCCTAAATTTCTAGCATTCTTGCAATTTGCACACTTTTATTAATTTTGGAAACATAAATCAATACTTTCAAACTAAAACAAAAGTAAATAGGTATTAATAAGTGGTCAAAATCCACACTTATCAACTTCCCCAAACTTAAGTCTTTGCTTGTCCTCAAGCAAATAGATTAGTTCCCACATCCTCAAAGTTAAAGATCATTTCAACGAGTCAAAGGTAAGCCATTCATATTAGAACCAACAATTACCCATAACAAGTCAAACATTCATGCACATATATTTCTATTGTGACATTTGAGCTTCAAGAATTGACTTTACTCATCAAGGACTCTTGTTCTATTATGTAGGTCATGGTGGATTCCAAACTCTTTCTCCTCTACTTTCCATTTGCCAAGCTCACTTAAAAAGTGAGCACTCAATCTTAAGGTACATGAAAGGTTCACTCATCTCTCATGAGAGAATGTCACAAGTGCGACTTCAAGTACCATAGGCTTACCCCTCATGTGGATCACCACTAAAAAGCTCGCTCGGTTAGAAATCAAGTAGGACTTCTTTCAGGTTGTAATGACGGTTTTTGGATTAGGGTAGGATACCATATGGGTAAGTGGTTACACCTTTCCTTAAGCACTCCACATTTTCTTTTTTCGGCTCACAATTACCAATTCTTAGAGGTATTTTCTTTTTATTGGGGGCTAGAGAGACTTGACATCATTCTTTCTTATTCATTTTTTTGTATGCTCATGTTAGGGATCATTACCTCTTTTAAAATCCATCAACCCTTTCACTTATCCTTTTTTTTTTTGCATTTTTTTGTTCTTTTTCATTTCTTGCCTTCTTTTTTCATAGAGATCATTTCTTTTCTCATTTTGTGCCTTGATACCCTTTTTAATTTCCTCATCTCTCCCCAAACTTATGATTTAAGCCACTTATTTCACAAGAGTGTTAAGGAAAGTCTAGGTTCCAAAAGAGGATCATGACAAAATGGGTAAAAACTTATAATATGATTATCAAATGAGAATGGCTAGAGGCTCAAAGGGGGTTGACTAGGGATAACGACATTGGTTGGCAGTAGAAAGCTCAAACAGGCCAAGGAAAGCCTACAATCACTTGTAAAACCAAAAAAAAATTTAGGATTTCGCCTTGAAGCACATTCGGAGCAAGTTCTAGACCATTCACACGGGCACTTGGACTAGCAACAAATCATCTCACCCCTCACACAACTAGATCGTAAAAGAGGATAGAGTCAAGAGCCTACAACAACCACACTCAAGTTTAAAGATCACTATGCTCCAATAAACCACTCGATGATTGCCAAAGTCAACTTAATAGTCTTAAAGTCACTAACTAGAGCTATTACTTTCAAATACCTTGTCTTTAATCATAAGCACGTAGTAAATTTTGTTGGTTCCAAATGAAGAAAGATTAACTCTTTAAGAATGACTTGATTAGGCCTACTACTACTACTACTACTACTGCTACTACTGCTACTACTGCTACTACTGCTACTACTGCTACTATTGCTACTACTGCTACTACTGCTACTACTGCTACTACTGCTACTACTGCTACTACTGCTACTACTGCTACCACTACTGCTACCACTGCTACCACTACTACCACTGCTGCTACCACTGCTACCACTAC